GAGATAACCTATTACAATTTCATCCTCTTTCTGCTCTCCCATTATCCTTATCCCCTTCTCCTTCCAAACACTTCGTGATCAAATGTGTTCGTGTTTTTCCACTTTCCGCCATTCTCAGAAAGAGAACTTAGAACAAGTACATCCTACGAGAGAGAATAAGGAAGAAGAGGTACGCAAAAAGATATCATATGTCACCTGCAATCAAATTCAATGATAATCTTTCTGCTTTGGTTTTACTTCCAAAAATGAATGGTTTATATTGAATTACGATATTTCTTGCGTTCTATTTTTTTTGAATTTTGATAAGTACTAAGTTGATTTCATTCACTTTAGTTATTCTTGTGCCTTACTGTATCATTTGTTACTATTTTAGAATCTATAGAATTTATCAACAAGAGTGCATAGCTGCATAGGAGGGAAACAAATAGCTTGAGATAAGCTTAATTGCAGTCCACTTCGTTTCTTCTTCAGTTTCTTCTTCACTAAAAGAAGTGCTCTTCATCGGAACTGGCTTTTATATGACATTTAACCTTATAAAGTAATTTTTCAGACAGCATTTTCATCTGTAGTGACTGCAAACTTTGTTTACGTGATATGCAACTTGATAGCAACATTCTCATGACAAACATTCGATTCATAAAATTCCTTATCTATAAGGGTGGAAGGAGCTCAACACGTGTTGCTTCTCGGCACGTTCTGATAGTACGGTTCCTTGTTGATCGATACCAGTTTCATCATGGTGAGTTCAACGTTTCCTTTGCCAATTTTAGCACTATTTGGTCTACAACACAATAACAGTAAATAAGGCGACCTAGAAATGAGAATAGAAGAGAAAACTCCTTACAATCTTTGCTAGAGCTTTGAACTATTACGGAGTTTTACTTTGTTATGATATCTTCTCCTGCCAAATTCGCATATATCTCAATTAATGACGTTTAATGATAACTTTAAAGCTTACTTATTGCCTTCTCAGTTCAAGCCACAAGCAAATTTGCGGCTTTTGAAAGTTCTTGTATGAGATTGGCTACCCAACCATTCTTCTCTCTTTCTCTTCTATAAGTAAAACTTATCACCATCACAGATGGCTGGTATTTTCATAAACTAAAGTCTAGGCCTGCTAACAGGAACTCCACATATTATCTATAATATTACCAACTTCTCCATTGGTAAAAATAGGTTTCTTTTGGGGCAGTTGTCGAAAAGCTATGCTAGCCAGGCCACTTTTGTTCGTTGTAAAAAAATTTAACAATTAATTTGAATCAATTAAATCAAACGAATAGTAACCTTTAATTGAACCAGGAGTAG